CCCCCTTTTAGGAGTTTAGACTATGACTCATATGCAGAGGCTTTCTAGACCTTTGTGGCCCTTGTGGCTATAACGACGGGTCTCCAAGATGGACAGGGGTCTCTCGTCATGCCAACGACCAAAGGGCTGTTATGTGGAGTTGGAATGATCCCATTAGACTTCGCAACAGCCTAGAACCTTCGGCAACAGTTCAAGACCCTGACTGGCCAGCACATAGAAGCAGATATGGAGTCGCACGTTCTTGACTGTATACAGCGGAATGCGCAGTGTCTTTGAACACAGCCACGAGCATGGGGCCCCTAAATGAATGCCCCAAATACTTGTGGTTACCAGAATTCGCGCGTGAGGCATCGGCGGTCGGAAGCACTAGCAAAATGGGACAAGCCCCCCCGCCGTACCCAAATTTCCCAAGGAGACATGGGCAACTCGAACTACAAAGTTTTGCCAACTGTGACCCAGATTCATCCGTGCCCCGGCCGAACTGGGCCGAGAAACGGTTGGAAACAACATCGTTCAGAATAGTAATGCCTGGGGGGTTCCAAAACTTGGAGGGTCCTGTCTAGGCCTACCCTATAAGGAGAACCGTATATTTCATAATCTATAAAGGGGTGTTCCCACATTGGACACCGAAAAAAACCCTCACCAACCTTCCCACGGAGCCCTATACACACGGCCAGAAACCATGATAACAACCCTTAACTTAAAAATCCTACTTCATAAGAACTACCTTATTTCGGACTGCAGGGACTAACGATACTAAACTGCAACAGGGACTCGTCCCTTGATGAGCATAATATTGACAGTAGCTCATGTGTAAGGATCTATTTCCCGAACTGCCCACCTTCGACCTGGCGCAAACGATCGGCCATACGCTGGGCCAAGGCGCAGCAAGTGTCCAAATGTTTCTCAATCCCTTGCTTTCCTAACTTGTTCAGATCTTAAGACTTGGGGTTTAGGGAATTCTAACTGGAAATCGCTGTCGCTGAAATCATGTCATCTGAAGTTCCTTACATTTTAGTACGCACAAATTGAAAGAATACATATTCAACACTTGCAAGAAGCACTTCCCTTCTGTACTTGAAGGTCCATGGGGCCATGTCCAGAAACGCTCCAGTAAGCCGGAGTACTACTGCAAGAAAAGAGGGGAAAGAACCGGCTCTACTCTTCAAATCAACCACGTTAAGCAAGTTTAGGGTTTAGGGTTCAGGGTAGGGCTCAAGGGCTTCAGGGCTCAAGATTTCAGGTTTATTTTGGTCCCCTGCTATGCCCTTTGGGCGAATTAACTAAATGGCTCAAGCTGGCTGTTTAGGGTTTAGGGTTTTTGGGTTAAGGGCTTTAGGGTTTTAGGGTTTCGGGTTCAATACTTCCACAGCCTGAAATAATGCCATGATGGTGTAATTCTTGAAAACCCAACATTTCGCGTGAGGTTGCTTCAATTTGCCGTGCCCGCGTGAACCAAATTTTCTACAAACAAGTCCACAGGGAAGCTTTGATGCTTCCTATAATCGATAACCCAGGGGCTGAACGTCTATATTCCTTGGGGTCTCAAGTAATCTTCTTCTATTGGTTCCTAGTTATATCTACTTGAACCCTTCAAACAAAACCATGGCCATGAAGGCACCGAGTTGCCCAACGTCTTGATTGCAGCGTAGACGGGCACACCTTGGTTCTTTACTGGTTCCACATTGGGTTCAAGGTTCAGGGTTCAGGGTTTTTGGGTTCAAGGTTCAGGGTTGAGGGTTTTTGGGTTCTGGGTTCGAGGTTCAGGGTTGAGGGTTTTTGGGTTCAAGGTTTAGGGTTTTTTTGTTTCCCTGTGCTTAGTCCGCGCATCCCTTCACTGCAGTCTCCCCAAAGCATGTTGAAGTGGTGCTGAAGCGGGGCTGATGCAATCTGTGCAAGTAAGCCTTTCTGCGCGAATCATAGTACTTCCTTGTTTTCATGTCTTGCCGCGGTGTCAGAACCCATAAAACAGACCGCGTACAATCCTACCATCATTCCTCTAACCGCCAAGCACCTCTCAGGAAGGACCTTCCTGTTCTTTTGGATCAGCCTTTCAAAAGCCTGAAAAGCCCCACCGGCGGGTGATGAAAAAAAAAACACCAATCAATTACTGACCCGTAACCATTCCAGGTCACCCTACCTGGTGAGGTCTCCAATAGCGGAACCTTAGGCTATCGCAAGGAGCAAACCTGCACCCCAATCTTTAAACCCTGAAAGTGTAGGGTCTAATCCGAGGGCTGTTCAACTGGGAGGCCACAAGAGCACACTGCCCCTCAATTCAGGATTGTGCTTTCAATAAAAATAGAGGTCCTGGTACCATTAAGGCTCAAATCATTCATTAAGATTTGTTTGGGTTGGTGAATTGTTGGGGTATTCCCGAACCAGGAAACCTATAATTCCTGGCCCCCGAAAACTTTGAACCTTGCGATGTAGAAGACTGCAATAGACAAGGAAGCTAAGACAAGAATATCAGCATTTATCCCTATAACACCCCTACATAAACCAAGCTCCCATCTTATGTTCCATCTTCTTTTCCATTTGATTCTGTATTACGTGGCGAAATCCCATATAGATACCCTGCTTCAATTATTCAAGCCCGTTCAGTAACCCCAGCGCGTAATCCGAAGCCTTAAAACATAGACCCTACAAGCCCTAAGCCCTCATCCTCAGCCCGGCCACCCCGAGCTCGCCGTGAGGCGCCAATGCCGAAGTTGATGGCGTTGCGATCTGGCTTTTCGATTGCATCGGTGAGATAGGCACCCATACCTTGCTACTAGGGACTGGGGTTTGGGGTATGTTTTGGGGGGTGCTTTGCGAAAGTCTAGGCTGTGGAAGGTCATGGTGAAGTTTTGACGGCTTGAAGTGTAACATTCAATTTGGGGCTTAACATATCGGGGTTCCGGTTTAACAAACGGGGCAGAGGCAAAGTCTCCAGCTGAGGTAGGCCAGAAAGGATCATCACGGTGGATGTGCTACTGGGATGGCAGTATAGTTTGTATTTGGTGCAAGGTCTATAGTCCCCCTTAAGTAGGTAGACTATGGGGTATATGTGGATCTTATTGTAATATACCCAGAGCCATATTCTATCCATGTAAGGGGGACTGTATAGGACGGTGCGAAAACTTCTCTATCCACAAGTGGAAGCTCAGGGCAACGCAGGTATGCCCTGGATCTGGGGATAAAAGATACAGATTGATCGAATACGTTATGTGACATTATGGGAACCAAAATCATACATGCCAGCAGGCCGGACCAAGTATCCCTACGTAGCTCTTTGCAAGCTAACTCCGCCTGGTGTATCTTGTGCAGTTTGTCCGACTTACAGCTACGTAATCCTTCGGGGGACCCGGACACTCACCCGAAATCCCGCAATTTGGGGGGGGGGGGGTCGCCATGGACCTGCATATTAAGCAACCTCCACATCATAGCCATTAGCGAGGTACTGTTGCCACCCATTGCCTCTGCCAGCAGCGCAGCTTCACGAACAATAACGATCCCACTGTCATAGGGCATATTGAACCACTTGTGGCCATCCGTGTCCCATGAGTCAGCCTGCTCACTTCTATATGGGGGATCTGAAAGCATATGCTCTTTAGAACAACACAGGGAACTATATAGGGATTCCGTAGGGGTCTATCTCTGCATCTAAACATAGAGGCTGCCAAGCATATGCAATCTTGGAGTTGCATCCGGGCACCCTAGCCATCGACATTCAAGTCAAAAATAAAGGAGGATTATGAGGAAGGGGGGACGGCCGCTCCACCACCACCAACAGGACCACCACCAGGACCACCACCAGGACGACCGGGACCAGCTTCAACAACGATGAAAATCTGTCAGGCTTGCCAGCTATGACCCTCGATCTCAGCCAAGCTAGCCTGTCAAAAGCAGTGACAATGAAATGCCCCGCACTAAACCCCAACACTCTAACCCTAAAACCCTCTACCCTAAGCCACGAAGCCCTAATCAACCCTCAAACCTAATATCCTAAGACCCTACATCGTAGACACACTCACAGGTCAGCCTGAGCCCTAAACCCTCAGCCTTCTCAATCCCTTGAAGCAATGGTCTTTGCTGTTTACTGGCCGCCGACCACAAGCCAATGGCTCCATCAATATGCAACCTGGATGGTGTCGGTTTAGGGTTTAGGGTTTATTGGGCTTGGGGTTTAGGACTTAGGGTTTGAGCGTCTAGGGAGAGGGAGAGAGAGAGAGAGAGAGAGAGAGGGATGCATGGATGGATGGATGGCTGGATGGA